ATTTTGCTACAATTCTCTTATTTTCCGAAGAAAAGAAAGAATAGAAGGAAAAGATTGATAATATTTTCTTTAGTATTTATATAGCGTGCTCAATTTCCCCGATCTAAGGGGAACACGTGGAGGAAGACTAAAATTAAGGAAGAACATATTCTAGTTCTGTGTGTATTAATATGAAACAGACAGGGTGTACTATCTTTTCCACATGTGTACGATAGATAATACGAAAGCCGTTTACATTTATTTCTATGGCATACAGGGATACACCTATTTGTACATTTTTCTATGTCGCAATTCTTTTTAAAATAAGAATTAAGAAAACGAGGAACTCAAATTGAGCAAGTCAACATTGCAGTAATAGAGTTCTGAAAAGACTTGCGTGATGGCAGAAAAGGAAACAGAAGGAAAACGAAACGGAAGGCAAAAGAAAAAATCGTAGAAGGAACGGGAGAAGGAACAATAAAAGGAATAGAAAAATGAAGACTATAATTTTAATCTAATCCGTGAGTATGCATATGTACATGTATATAACAGAGCGTTTGTGCTTTCCGTTTTTTATGTACCACTGTATATTGATGCGTATCTGGGATCAGATTTTGCTTATTTGCAAAATTGCTTTTCCCCTTGCCCTTATCACTTGTATGTTGGAAAATGAATTCACTTTTTGATGATTTGATACTGTACATTGCAGTTCCCTTATGAGTATTATGCATGGTTTTTTTTGTGTCTTTGTTGTTCAACCTCTTCACCATTCGAGGTACGTGAACAGCTGCGTGGACCGTGATTGACAGATTTTTCGTCTTCCCATAATATGCAGTATGTTTTGTTTCTTTTCCTATAACTATGAACCAATTTTATATTTACAACTACAACCGCAAGACAGAATGAATTATGTGCTAGTGAAACAGTCTTAAAATGTAGCTGTCTCGATTGAAAGCCATAAATTGATTCACATCTGAATAGGGATGGTTTAACGTCAACGACATACACTTGGAGATTGCAGGACGTAGCAGGTATTATCATTTTAATTCATGGTTTAAATTCACATTTAAGATTTTCATTCCTAGGACACAACGTACATATAATGGACAACGAGAAGGCCGTATCGAAAGATGGAAAAAATTATTGCATTAACGAGGAAAGCTAGATACAACGATTTAATAAGAATACATATTCAGTATATGCAACTGAATTAGACCGTCACGAGGAATCCCATCGACGGAGAAGTCTAAAGGGTAGCGCGAAGCGTTTTGATAATATACCATACGATGTGGTAGAGTAGATTCAGAAAATTGAATAGAAGTAAGGGAACAAGGAAAATTTATGTGATGCCCAAGCTGGTAATAATGAGAATTTTAATGAAAACAACCTTCCCGTGTATTGAATTGGTCAGTCCATGGGAGGAAATGTAGTATTAAGGACATTGTAATTGATAGGGAAATCGACAGATGGGTCCAAGAAAAATTAAAGCATTAGAGGCTTCATATCGCTATCAGGGATGACTTCTATCGACAGAATAATTGCGTCTCCTCGTCCATGTAAGTATAATTTTCTTTACTTCCTTCTTATATGACTACCGTCTTTTTGCTTTGCACGATTAGGAACTATGCATAATATACCTCCTATAACGGAGTAGTATATTCTAATCTTTATAAATATGATAAAATTAGATACAAAAAAAGAATAATGTAGACGTCTGCATACAAACTTTCCAAGGCAAAGAATAATTTACGGAAAAATATGAAGCATATTCAGGATGATATTCCCATTGTATTTATTCATTCCGAGGATGAAACTTTGTGTTATTATAGAGGCGTTGTGTCATTTCTTCGTTGATTAAGAAATGATAAGAGAAAATTGCACATTCTTCAAGACAAGCAGAATATGTGAACTGTAGAAGGAGGGAATGAAAACGTTTTCAATAAAATTATGCAATGGATTTCAAAGCTAA